ATAGAATAAACCTTATAAATAGAAGCTTTTCATGCTCAGTATGCGAAGTAGTTATTCTGTAAAGTATCCACCTCAAGCTTGTAGCGGCTAATACCTACACAAAAACTAATGCCGCATACCTAGGTGATATTAGCATTGATCCTGAGCTTAGCAGTTTCAACAGCCCTATAGGCTGTAGGCATATGGTTAGCATCGGTGTACTTCGGACACTGCTGTGTCACAACCTTGTCCAGATCCGCGTCTGTAATTTGAGGGTAGAGGCTACAAACCTATGCTAATCCTTTTGCGGCAGATGTGCGGGCACGTCTTGTCCCCTTTGGAACGAGCAGTCGGTTGCGCAGACACCGCTGCTGCAGCCGATTTCAAGAATTAATCCCCAGCTCGAAAATCAGTACTTTAAGATGACGTTTTCCTATTCTTTTGTACTACCTACTGTTTCCTCTCAGGTACACGGGTCCAAAGCGAAGTGAGGAGAGAGTGGAGTATGTTCAAAACCATTTCTTAAAATTAGGCATGTCATGATTATGTGTGATCTGTAGGATAAAAATAGTTCAGCTCCGGAAGTCGTTCTTCGCAGATCGGGCAGCTGTCCCCTAAATTCTTTCCAGAATGTCTAAGTGATCATCCGGACAAGGATTTGCTGCTAACGGTGTTGATAAGGTAGTGAACATAATGATACATAATTTAGTAAGCGTACTAAAGGATCCCTAGTATGCCTTTGGGCTCTGCGCTGCAAGCATACAACTAAGAGCTGTGGTCTTCTGATTGCTACTTTATGTGACTCCCACGTCATTGTGCTTCAATGATGAGGATAAAAGGGTTTCACCAACACCATGCCTGTTGATGCTTGCATGCCCGATGCTCGTAAACACATATCTGAGTTATTAGACACCAACAATTTTTCTTGCCAGGTTGACAGACTGAAAGGAAACGTATAGCTCATGAGAAAAATTTGATGAAGTTTTCTCTGGGCTTAAATGTCGCATGTTGTATCGTTTGATGTCAATCTGGACAGCGTCATCAAGACGAACTTCAAAAAGAAGTGAGTTACAGGGTTCTCTCCACAATTTATTTGGTAGCTTGTTCTGATCCCCATGGATGTTTTCACCAAGATGTTATCATTGTCTCCGTGTTTATTTTGGCTGGTTGTCCCAACGAACCGGAACCTGAACTTCTTGCTGTTTCTTACTGGTCAACGGGTTGAGTCAGTGCGGGGAAAATATGTCGACCACTGACTAACTTGAATACTCAGGCTCTAAAAGGTATCTGGCTTTCTTTTCACTTCCCCTCCAGGGGGAAAACCCTATAGCTCACTTCTTTCTGAAGCTTTTGCTGATGATGGTGTCTAGAATCACAACGTAAGTTCCACGGTTAAAACATCCAGCCTAGAAAACACGACTCATCAAAAAGATAGACAAATTGTTGCGGTGCATCTGGATTGAAAGCACATCGTCATCAAACCCAATTTTTTGGTCAGTGCACAGGACCACGAAAAGTTCGATAATATTCAGCGGTTAATTTGTGCACGGAATAACTGTATAGCATTCATGATCGTACCATGCGTCAATTGACTTTGCCACGTCTTCCAAGAGGGAGGCTGAGAATAGATCCTTGTCATTTACCTCCCGCTAGTAATAACCCTGTGGTGCAGACGGACAGACTTTTCTTGTTTCACGAACAGCCTAAAATGAGCCATCCTGCTGAATGCCTTACTAAAGTCCATCAGAATTGACCCAATCTTGTTCGACCGTGAAGATTATTTTCAAGCAACAGGAGCTTCGGTGAGAGCAATGTTCAGAACAGGGAAACAGAGTGATGCTACCTGGGTGGACTGTGATAGCTTTCTTGATCACTGTCTGCATGCTTTTCACCAGTATACCGCCCAGACGCCGGCCTGCAACTCAATGCGCTTCGCATCGCACCTGTATGAAGCGACCTTCCAGTCATGTGAGGGTAAATATCCACTGGGCGACAATTCGGATTTAGTACCAACTGGGCAAATAAATTTGGTTTAGCCCTCGGCAGCCGTAGCTGCTGGTCCCGGTGATTTTTCAACGTGCAGGGAACCGAATGTCCTAAGTACATAACTGCCGTTGAGTTACACTGATTTTGTTCTCTTGGGTGTCAGGGATTCTACTGTTGAACTAGTTTCATTCAAAGGTTCCAAGGGAAAGACCTCTGATAAAGATCCGGCCATATCCCCCATCCTCTTCAGTTAACTTGCCAGTTTCACTTGGCTCTATTAGGATGAGGATACTAGCAGATGTGTTTTCTCTGCACTTCCCATAAGAAAATAAACTCTTTAGGTGTCGTACCGCGGCCTGGGCGAGATGTGCTTCATAGAATATTCGAGGATGGCGCGTGGCACCGATATGTTTACCCTGAACTTCTGTACCTCGAGAGTACCAGGTGAGTGACAAAACTCCAGCACTTTTTGTCCTTGCGGATAGTTG